CCTTTTCAGTGAAAAAGCTCGTTCCTCTACGAAAGGAATCACCGATCGACCTTCTCCACCGGCTTTCAAACGAATGATCGTGCAGACACGCTGCTATCGATTGAGTTTAGAAACAGCTATATGAAAAATTTCAGCTGCAACTTTCATTTAGACACGTAGCTTCAAAAGAAAGTTTCAAATCGATGAATTCTTCGCGCCTGCGGGAAGAAGTTTCACCAAAATACGAGGCACAAGATTTTACTATGGAATACGTACCGATCGAACACGTTAAATAGAAATTGCATTTAATTTCGTGCGATGATTCTTATTACTTCAATTACGAGTAGATTATAAAACAGAGGGTTGTAAACAGAATGTTTTAGAAAATGAATTTTATGACATTAGAGCCGACCCTTTTCTTGGCTGTAACAGACATAAAAACAAGAATCTTCTCTCAGCAATTTTCACTTTACGAATTCAATTCATGTAAGAAATTACACGAAAACAAGCGTTTGTTTCATGAATGTCGAAAGAGGAGGGAAACTTGGGAAATATAAAGCCACGCTAATTTTCTCTCATTCAATAAGCGTAAATACTTTTATGCACATTCCGTCTAACCTGTTGAATAAATATGAGTCTGACAGGAAGCGGAATTCGGCCACGATCGTGTTTCATCGCTTCGTTTCTTCCAGTAGATTGTCTCGGAAAACAAAACAGGTGACTCGAAACGTGAAAAAGTCCCTTTCACCAGGAGAGCTTCCTCCTCCGAGCCAGCTGCATTATAAAAAGTTCCCTCCTCTTCGAGTCACATTTGTTCAGCAGCTAGAATTTCTCAAAAATCCTCCTCGTACGTTAACACGTAGTACGTATTTGATCATTGATAACCTGATAAGGCCGATATCAGGGGGAACACACGATGCATTCATTTATTAAAACTTCGATAAAAAAAAAAAAAGTGGTTGATATTCCCGTTTTATTGATTTTTCGGTACGAATGAGAAACGACATTTTTTTTTTTTCTTTTTTTCTTATCGAGAACCTGATATGAATCCCGACGTAGAATTCTCCTGACTTTCGATTATTTGGCTTTGTAATCAGAAATTCTTGTTGTGTGAAACAGGTACGTTGTTATTCATTGGTCGAAGGAAGGATTATTATAATATCTTCAACAACTTTTACTCTCTTTGTTCGAATTTTTAACACATCTTTTTCCTTCGTTACTAGTAATTTTATAAACCGTGATTTCTTTCTACAAATTTGCAACTTGATAATTGTTGCTTTCTAAACAAACTTGTTGCATAATTAAAAATTATTATAATAATAAATAATAATATTATAATGGAATAATATTTTGATTAGAGATGATACGAGATCGTCTATGTGTAGCAATAACTTCCAAACAATGCTGCTTCGTTCACGTCAGTTTAACCTTTGCGATTTTTCATTATAGCGATAGAATTTAATTAACTGATTATATCACGTTGATGTGCTGATTAGAACAACGAACGTGTGCACGTGAATAGTTTCTCATTATTAAACCTAACCTAAACCTCTTAACTTAAAAGTCATCATTGTTTAAAATTTGGTTAATTATTTTGATGTTTACACTATAGTAGACGTATGTATACATTTTAGATACACTTTTTTTTTTATTTCAAATTGCGTCACATTGCTTTAAATGTGTTAAATATAATATACATACATTTATAAATAAATGTTATATTGTATAAATATTAAACTTCAAATATTGGCATAATTACATATTATACGTGCTATGATTATTTAATCAATTCTAGTTCGCCCGAAATAGCTATCAATTTCATAGCTATACTTGTCGATATATATTCGCAAAATAGATTCAGTTCATAATTAATATATTCGTGTAAATAATAAATCAAATAACGTGTATTCAATAACGATGAAATATCATTTATTATTAGCATTCGTTAAGCTGCGAAATTTTGTCGCAATCAACACTTAAAGCTACTATTCAAAACGTTAAATACAATGGAACGGCGGAGTATGGAAGATAATTAATTCAGGAACGTTTGTAACCTACTTGAACGAAAAAAAATTATTACGAAGTAA